CTTAATTTCATATCTTTTAGGCTCAAACAATTGAATTAAGAAATTTTTAGTAATTGGAAATCAATTTTTGTGGGACAATATTTCAAGAACTTATTTTAGAACCTTTTATTACTTCTTGATGGGTACACTTGTCTACGAACAATCAGTTCACCCTTTTAAAACAAACATAACATTCAAACAAAAATCCAAAATCACCATAACATGTCATTCAAATATAAATAAATAATTAATTAACTTCTCATCATATAGACCAATACAATATGTCGAAGGTTAGACACCTTCGAACTCAATCCAAGTGTACAATTTAACATACACACTTTTTCGATCTTAATAAAATCATTTATCCTAAAGTGTAGCATCTTTTACTAGCATATTATTCAAAATAATAGTTCAATATTAATTGTACACATATAATAACAATTACCAAATTGTAAAAACTCCTTAGAAATTTGTTTTATTCATAACTTTTACTATAAAAATCTTGTATAGATAATTTCTTAACCAAGTTATTGATCTTTTATGCCAAAAAATTCATTTTCTACATTATGATTTCAAGAAAATCTTATAATTTTGTTATTTAGAATAAGGTAGTTTGGGGTTCCGAGTTAAAAAGCATAGATAAGATTTAGAGTTTGGGATCAACTTCCCTTACTTGGAAGTAGATCGTAAGATCGCGTTCTTCATGAGGTCTAAAAGAGAGATACAACGATTTTGATGAAAGAGTTTATCCTAAATACCAAGATTTCTCAAGTATTACAAAGTAGAAAATTTTAGAGAAAGAGAAAACAAAAGAATAGGAGAGAGGTTGGAGAACTGAGCTCCAAAAAACTTACTCGAAATCAGTTAGAACAGGCATTCAAGCTTGGATCTGGAAAAGTTTCAAGGTTCAGGAGGGTTTTCTCTGAGAAGGGAAGATGAGAGAACAGAAAGAAATGAGAGGGAAGCTTGTTTGGTTCTAATGAAAATTTCTAAAATAGAAGTTCCTTAAATACCTCTCCAAACTTGTGCGTTTTCACTTGAGAGAGTAGATTCTTACGTGAGTGAGCATATTCTCGCTTGAGCGAGATCAACTCTCGCCTAGACATCCCCTCCTCACCTGAGTAAGAAATCTAGACAATGATTTTACTCATTTTTTTGATATTCTTGCCTGAGCAAGAAAAATAGGTCTAGAGAGCTCCCAATTTTTCTGCAATTCCTCACTTGAGCGAACTTTATCTCGCTTGAGTGAGAGGACAATTGGAGCAACTTCATTCTATCTTGCTTGAGTGAGATTCATCTCGTTTGAGCAAGAATGCTCCATAATAGTTGGCCTAAAAAATTCTGTCTCACCTGAGCGAGACATATCTCGTTTGAGCGAGAGGCCCTGCGCTAAACTCTATATTTTTCAAAAATAAAGATAATAATATTGAGGGTGTTACAGTCTAGATTTTAAAAAGATCAACATTTAGCACCTCTTTTATTATTTTTATTTTTTTTATTATTTAAAAATTCATTAAATTATTTTCAGAGTTGTCACAAAATTTCAAATTAACATTACAAAATTTTGCCGGAATAAATGAATTAGCTACTTTCCTTTTTATTAATTAAGGAAGGATCAAACTAAAATGAATAAAATAAAGCAATATAATAAAAAAATATGTCAGATAAATTAATTTTTTTAAAAATAATAAGAAAGAAAAGTAAAAGAAAAAGAAAAAATTAAGATAAAACTTATTTGAATTAAGTTAAATTAAATCAAATAATATAAAATAAAATAAAATCAGAAAGAAACTTGTGTAAATAAGTGTCTATGTAAATAAGTGTCTTACACACTCCTTTCTAACTCACTTTATTTTAAGTGTGTCGCATAGCAAGTACCTTTTAAATTTGGCTGGCCATATTATTATTATTGAACTAATCGATGAGACAACTCACTTACCTTGGATGGGTCCTTGATGAACAAAAGATTTGTCGCTAATACACATCAAAATGTAAATAAAAATTAATGTAATATTAGGGTACTAACCTAGGTCATCCTCTTGTAAATCATTGGGTGTGTAACCAAATATCAAACATGTAGTGTACAATGTATTTAGAAAACAAGTAAAAAGGTAGATTTTGTGGTTTCAAGTGTAAAGTACTCAATCAGAAAATCAAATTGTAAAGTTCAATCAATAGAATATAGTAATCCCTAGTTTATCCATATAGATTCTATCTCAATTCCTTTTAAGATTTAATACTCTACCATTTTTCTTAAATTAGGTCAATTTAACAAGCAAAAATTAACCTTAAATTCTCATACAAAATTAAGTAAATCAATGGACTCCAATCTCTAATCCTAGGGATTAAGCAACCTTAGAATTAAACCTGAAATTAAGCAAATCAAGTTTATAACCGTTGTTAAAAAATGAATTTGAAGTTGATTAAGCAACACCCTCTCATTCAACTCTTAACTTAGTTCAAGAGATTGGAGAAAGAAAAACTTCATGAGAAAAAGGTTTATATTAACATTAAAGGCCCAAGAATTCAACAATCCATATAAACTCATTAGAGATTACAAGGAAATTAGCCCTCCATGAGGATGAGTCTCACTATTACAAGATGAAAATAAAGGAAAATCAATAACATCAAGATGAAAAATAAAAAAAAACTGAAGAAGAAATGAAATTCAAATCCTAGGTTGGACCCTTAGCTGTCATTCAAGGCTGACCTAGGCTCTGCCAAAGTATCCTAAAAATGGTAAAGTATCTAATGTAAAAGGTTTTGCAAAAGTCATAACCCTAAATGGTAAAAATCTATTTATATTAAACTTGATGTCTTTTATAGTAACTACTATCGTTTACAATAAAAGGTATGTGAAGCATAGTAACTACTATCATAAATGATAGTAGCTATGTACAGCTCCCAAAATTTTCCTTCCTCTTTGTAGTAATTACTATAGCATATGAAAGTAGCTACACGCGCTGCATAGTAACTACTATTGTTTATGATATTAGCTACTCACAACATAGTAGTAACCACACGCAAGTTTGCACCTCTCCTTGGACTCTGTAGTGATTACTATTACTTTTGAAAGTAGTTATTTTGACCTATCCTTTGGAATTGACTTGCTGTAGTGATTACTATGGTGTTTGAAAGTAATTACTTTCACCTCATATTTTCAAATAGCCAAAATTCTATGGAATTTGTCTGGAATTTCTTTCATTATTTAAATGATCAAAATTGTAAAATATATTTACAGAAATTAGTGTAAATTAAACAAAAATTAAGAAAGTTATAATATTTGACCTAAATGAGATTTTATACTATTTACAATTTCTAAGTCAATTTTTTTTTATTAAAAATCTATAAAAAAATAAATAAAATATTTATAAAATGTGGATTGATCAGTCCTTTAGCTAATGCATTTTTCTTTGGATGTGCATCAGCAATATATAGTTTTTTCCTTGAGCCATCCTCATCTAGTTTGCTGCAAAGTGCATGTGAATATTTTGTATGTGGACTGACATAAATCAATTTTTATTATAACTTTAATTTAATTTCAAATTAATTTGATGTCAAAATATTGAACTATGTTGTTTAGCCCATATCATAAATAATGATTGTTATTGGGCTTATTTGTAATAACTTTATAGTTATTAGTGGATATGGTTTTATGATTATTGTTATTAGATTGAGGCATAATATTTAGACTTGACCCATCTTGTTATTAACCAGAAAGGCTACTGCTCCTAACCATTTCAAAGTAACTATTACTCCACTGAGACAGTATATGTAAAAATTTGAAAGAGTGATAGAAGGAGTTATATTTTTTTTTTTTTCTCTCATCTGTCAAAAAAGCACTCAGTCATGGACTCATCAACCTCAACCGTTCTAGGTAATTCTAACACCTAATCCTATTATAGTGTTTGTTTATCACTTGTCATATTGATAATTAGATTTCAATTTTCCCTTCAGTGCAACCACAAGTTTTTCATCCATGTTGCTCCTTATATTCATGAGAAGATCAAGCAACAACAGCTCTAAAAACATGAGCAAGTCTGCCACATATAATTGGAATTTACTCTACTTAGAAGAAATTTTCTATTATTAATAGACTTTTATTAAAACTTTTTTAATTGATTGTTATTGAAGAAAACTTTTATTTTTTTTTATTTTATATGTATTTTATTTTAGTATTTAATTATTACAGATTTTTTTTAATTTAGTATAAAACATAGTCACCGTTATATAAATTATGATGAATATTAATTATCTAAGAAACACGTAAAGTTGATGAAATAATGTCAACAATTACCAGAAAAATCAAAATATTACTTAAAATTAATAATATTGTAATAAAATTTAAATGGATTAACTTTAATATCAATCAAAAAGAAAATAAAAAATAAATTTCATTACTAAAATATACTAATAATAACTAATTTTGAATCTTAAAAAATATTAAAAATAAGATAAAAATAAAATATTGGTTAGACTCGCGTTATTTATAAAAGATGAAAATAAAAAAAATAATTTTTTATATGTTAAAATCAAATTATTATTTTTTCTATTCTCATGTGAATTTTATAAATTTTGAGATTCATTAAATTAATTTTAATTTATTAAAAATGATTGATTTTACCTCTGTTTTATTCTTTTATTACAAGTATTTATTTAAAACTTTACGTAATAAAATGAAAGGACATAAAGCAGAGTAACATAAAACGTAAGAACCCACGTCATCATTGTGGTTTTAACGGAATTGAAGTCATTTGTATAAGCATTTCGTATTGAACAACGGATTGTTAACAAATGTTTAATTTTAGTGTGTATTAAGGTTGTATTACGCCCAGCAATGAATGCAATATTGAGCAAACAGATTGTCACAGCAATTTCAACTGTGCCAGCTTAAATGTGATAATTGCATACTGACAGCTATATAAACAACTTTTGTTTTGATTAAGGATGCAAAGGAAAAAGCAAAAGCATAAGAAAATTAATTGACTAAGGTCTCGTAGAAGAAGATTCAGAAGGGAACTATGTCGAGCCCTGAAGCTTCAATACCAGATTTGGCATGTTATACTACAACATTGGATGTTTCCAACAAAATATGGATGAGTGATAATGTCCTTGCAGCTCGTGTTCCTCTTTTGTGTATCCAAATTGCCTACAATGTTCTGTTTTCTCGTATTCTGCACCACATCTTCAAGCCCCTTCACATGCCCCTTCATGTTGCCCAGATTCTTGTAAGCATTCTTTCATTCATATACCTGTGTTCCATGTTTCATATCTTTATACTTGATATCGTTTCTAGTTTTTGTACCAAAAAAATCTTACATTCTCGTAATTGTATGAAAAATCATTTGAGAATAAATTATTGTTATTTACTAGCGTAGAGTATTAAATTTTATTTCTATACCTGATATCATCTTGTTTCCTTCATATAAAAAAGTCTCTAGTATGATATCTTTTTTGTTTTGGTCCCTGTGTTGAAATAGACTACCACTGTCACAATTTCAATAAATAGTACGAACTAATTTTTTTTCATATAAAAGTTAAGTATAGAAATTTTTTATATTGGAACCAAAATAAATAACCAGTTAAGTAATGGACTAAAATAATAGTTGAACTTTTATTTTTAGAAAAATGCTAAAAGATATACAATCACAGTAAAGCATAGAATTTCTCTCTTTCCACAACATTAATTCTTTTTCTTTCTAACACATGGTATCTGATTTTTATTGACGAAATGATATGTTAAAAAATGAAAGAAAAATGCTCATTGTTTTGCGCAAAGATTTGTTTACTATAGATCGAGTCTCTTTTGCTCGTTTCTCCAACTCGCGTACCTATTTCTATAAAGTCATTTGTGCCACTTCTTTTTTTTTTATCAAAAGTAATTCGTACTAAATTGCGTTCTATTTGTATATGTGGTGCTATTACATTTACACAAATATAAGAGGACAGGTATCAGAATTTCTGAACTTGGTATTGTACATGCAGGCTGGTTTTTTTCTGAGTGCGTCAATGTTGGGAAGATTCTCGTCTTTCTTTCATATATTGTACAGAACAGAAGGAATTCTGGCCGTTGAAACCTTTGCAAATACGGGATTGATGTACTATGTGTTCCTTAGTGGGTTGGAGATGAACTTTGAGACCATCCTAAGATCAAGCAAGAAGGCTACATGCACTGCCGTTGCTGGCATTGTGATTCCAATGCTGTTGGGGGCTGGTTTTCTTGCTATAGAACAGCAAATGCTACCAAAGGATATGATATCTGTTAAGGCTCAAGGGTACTTATTTTGGTGTTTAGTTCTTTCTGTCACAACTTTTCCGACCCTTGCTAGGCTCCTTACAGGGCTTAAGATCGTCTACACGAGGCTTGGTAAAGATGCCTTAACAGCAGCTATGTTAATTGATGCATATGGGTGGATTCTGTTTACCCTTTTGATTCCTTTTTCCAACAAAGGTGGGAAACCACTCCTCTCAGCAATGGCTACCTTGATGTTCATTGTTTTCTGCTTCTGTGTTGTGCGCCCTATCCTTAATCGCATGATCCAACACACAACAAGGATGGAGACATGGAACTACTCGAAGTTGTTGGATTTGATGGTCGGACTTCTTGTTTGCTCATACATTACAGATATGCTTGGCACACACCATGTTGTTGGGGCCTTTGTGTATGGACTAATTTTGCCTAGTGGGAAGTTTGCTGATATGACAATGGAAATGTTGGATGATTTTGTTACTGAGATTATGATCCCTGTCTACTTCTCTGGCTTTGGCTTGAGGCTTAACACTGGGATGATTTTGAGTGATCAAAATTTGTTTCTCTCTGTGCTCTTCATATTGCTGTTGGCCGTCCCAAAAGTTTTAAGCTCAATGATTGTATCTATCTTCTTTGGTATGCCTATTAGAGATGGATTGGGCATTGGATTGCTCCTCAACACCAAAGGCATCATGGCAGTGCTACTTCTAGGCGCCGCTTGGGACAAAAGTGTACGGATGAATCACCAAACCTTTTTCTTTCTATTTCTAGTTTTTACAAATGATTACAAAATGTCTCTTTTTTCACTTTGTTTCCTGTTTTCAAATATCAGTCCAAGGAAAACAGGAAAGAAAATAAAAAGCAAGGTGACATTTTGATGACCATTTAGAAAAGTCAAAAACGTTTCTAGAATACATTTTTTGTTTAGCTTAATGATTACAAAAACATCACGTTTTCACTGTTTCCTGGAAACAGAAAAAACAAGGTGACATTTTTGTAATCATCTGTCTACAGGCTCTAAAATTGCATGCTGCAATTTAATGCACCGGCTCAATGGACATTTAACTCATGTGTTTACATGTTCTTTTCTCTTTTTCAGCTGATAGACCCCTTTGCCTTCACAGTGATGATGCTTGCTATAATCTTGATGACTATGTTGGTCACTCCCTTGATCAACAGTATATACAAGCCAAAATTCAGATTGATGCAATCCCAGCTAAGGACTGTGCAGAAGCAAAGGTTTGATGCAGAACTTAGAGTTGTGGCTTGTGTCCACAATGCTCGGCAAGCCATTGGCTTGATCCATGTCCTTGAAGCCGCAAATGCCACCAGAGTTTCACCCTTACATGTATCTGTGCTTCACCTTGTTGAACTCACCAGACATGGCACTGGCCTTCTTGTTGCCCGAATGGAGGGTTCAACTGCACATGGGGGATCACAAGGAACTGGACCACATTCAGAGTTTGAGAGCATAACCAAAGCATTTGATGAGTTTGTTGAGGGATACAATGCAGCTAGATATGACATATCAAATGTTGTGTCAACCTATCAAACAATCCATGAGGACATATACAATGTCACAGAAGAGAAACGTGCAAGCATAATTCTCCTTCCCTTTCACAAGCAGATAAGCTCAGAAGGTGTGCTAGAAGTAACAAACAGTGCATACAGTGACATAAACAACAATGTTCTAGAGCAACCACCTTGTTCTGTTGGCATCTTTGTGAACCGTGGTCTTGGGTCATTATTAAATACTAAAATGAGCATTATTGCGATCTTCATTGGAGGCCCTGATGACCGTGAAGCCTTGTCAATTGCATGGAGAATGGCAGGACATTCAGGAACAAAGTTGCATGCGCTGAGGCTTGTAGTGTTAGGTGAAGCTGCTGAAGAAAAAGATGAATCATTCCAGAGTGATTCTAATGGTTTGTTTTCCACAGTTATGGACAATGTGGTGCAAAAAGAGTTGGATGAAGAGTACATATTTAACTTTAGGCACAAGGGAGTGCACAATAATGAGTCCATTAGTTACTCTGAGAAGGAAGTGGTAATAGAAACTGGTGAGGAGATTCCTTTGATCCTCAATGAAGTAGACAAACCCGGGTATGACTTGTACATTATGGGACAAGGAAGTGGTAAGAACTACCTAGTTTTTAAAAAGTTGTTGGAATGGTGTGATAACCCGGAACTTGGGGTCATGGGGGATATAGTGGCTTCAACCAGTTTTGGCACACACTCTTCTTTGCTTGTTGTGCAGCAATATATGATTGGGAGACAAAGCAAGCCTAGACATCCCAGAAAATGTCACGCAAAGAAAAATGAATGTGATATGTTGTGAGTCACCGACTTGATTCTTTACAAAATAGGTGAAACTTGTGACCAAAGAAATGGTAGAACATGTATCAAACTGAAATTCCTAAACTTTAATCCATTTTCTTGAACCTCCTTTCACAGCTATGTGTTTTTTCCTTCTTGGAAAAGAAATTGGAACACATGTTCTTTTATCCACTTCTTGAAAAGAATTACTAGGAGAATAAGATGAAAATGTGAAATTTTAGAAAGATGAATGTGATTCATTTGAAGGATTAGAATTTTAGGAATTAGTAATTTTTTGTTAGAGTTTAATGTCTTTATTATATACATTCTAAGAGGAAAAGCTCTACTTGAGTTTTTGCATATCTTATATGAAAAAATATTGTTATTTGTTCATTTTAAATTTTTGTTTGTTTCATTTGTTAATTGTAAGTATAAAACTTATTTTAGTTAAATTGTGTTTATTGATTTAATATGTAAGACTTTATGTAACTAAATTTGCTTAATGATTTATAAATTGATATTTATTTTATTGTATTTTTTGTGTATATATATATATATATATATATATGTAGTGATTTACTTATTTAAATTAAATATGTAATTTGAAAGTGATAAATAAGAATACATAATTTTATTATACATATTCAAGGTGTTGAATCATTTTTTTAATAGTTTTTTTAGATATAAGCTGTAACACCCTCAATTTTATTACTCTTGGATAGGAAAAATAGGAATTTGGATGAAGGATGTCTCGCTCAAACAACATAGGATTTCCTAAACTAGAATGATCTAGAACCCCTCACTCAAGCGAGAATAAGATAAAGTTGGCCCAACTGTTCTCTTGCCCAAGCAAGAAAGGGATTTTGCTCAGGCTAGGAGCAGCTCGCCCAAGTGAGATGGACCTCGCTCGAGTGAGGAGTTGCAGGTCTGATAGGTACTCTCTGGACTCAATCTCGCTCAGGCAAGATTGTATCTCGCTCAGGCGAGAGTATTTTCGCTCAAGCGAGAATATAAAAAAAATGAGCAATCTCGCTGTCTGGTTGTCTCGCTCAGGCGAGGAGGGCTGACCCAAGCGAGGATGAGAGCTCGCTCAAGCAAGAATCTTATCGCGCAGGCGAGATCGCGCGAGTTTAGAAAGATATTTAAGAGATTTTAGCCTAAAAAACGTTCATTTCTCACCAAACGACCTTCTCTCTAGATTTTCTCTGTTTTCTCTCCTTCATCTCTCTAGAAAGAATTCTCTCAGATTTCGAATCTCTTCTAGATCCGAGCTCAAACATCGATTCTATTAAGATCTAATTAAGTTTCTCGTAGCTCATATAAACTTATTTTAGTTAAATTGTGCTTGTTGATTTAATGTGTAAGACTTTATGTAACTAAATTTGCTTAATGATTTATAAATTGATGTTTATTTTATTGTATTTTTTGTATATATATGTAGTGATTTACTTATTTAAATTAAATATGTAATTTGAAAGTGATAAATAAGAATATATAATTTTATTATACATATTCAAGGTGTTGAATCATTTTTTTAATAGTTTATTTAGATATAAGCTGTAACACCCTCAATATTATTACTCTTGGATAGGAAAAATAGGAATTTGGATAAAGGATATCTCGCTCAGATAACATAGGATTTCCTAAACTAGAATGATCTAGAACCCCTCGCTCAAGCGAGAATGAGATAAAGTTGACTCAACTATTCTCTTGCCCCAGCAAGAAAGGGATCTCACTAAGGCTAGGAGCAGCTCGCCCAAGTGAGATGGACCTCGCTCAAATGAGGAGTTGCAGGGAAGATAGGTGTTGTCTGGACTCAATCTCGCTCAGGCAAGAGTATTTTCGCTCAAGTGAGAATATCAGAAAAATGAGCAATCTCGTTGTCTGGTTGTCTCGCTCAGGCGAGGATGGCTGACCCAAGTGAGGATGGGAGCTCGCTCAAGTAAGAATCTTATCGCGCAGGCGAGATTGCGCGAGTTTAGAAAGATATTTAAGGAATTTCAGCCTAAAAAGCGTTCATTTCTTTAGAAAGAATTCTCTCAGACTTCGAATCTCTTCTAGATCCGAGCTCAAACATCGATTCTATTCAGATCTAAGTAAGTTTCTCGGAGCTCATATCTCTCTTTTATTCCTTTTCTTTGGTTATCTTCTCATATTAAGACATCTATCTTGAAATACTTAGGAAACCTCATCTTTCAGAATATATCTCCGTAAAATCTCTCCACAGATTACTCAGAGAACTAGTTTAGAGGAACCGTTATCAAGTAAGGGGAATATTTTCAAGCTTTAAGTTTTATATACATATATAATGATCTTAGAAGAATCTGAATAACCTATTTTGTTAATAATCTATGATTTTTATGAAATCATATGGTAAAAATGTATTTTTGGTAATAAGAAAGGTTTTGAGTTATTTAAAATTAATGAAATTGGATTTTCAGAGGAAGCTAATGGTTGGAACAACATTAAGAAATTTTAAGGTTAAGTTACTTAGAATATGTATATAACTCAAGTAATAACAGACACAAAATACTGAACTTTAGGATAGAATACCATATAGAAATTGTACGAGTTGGATTGAGTCTCAAGGTGTCTGACCTTCGGCATATTGTACTGATTGTATAGTAGGGTATTGTGTGATAATTTCTGTGCTAAGATTGATATATTGTATTGATTCTATGGTGTAATATTTATGGCAGATTCTGTGTTAGAATGGCCTATTGCATGGTGTGATATTGTATAATAACTTTTATGTTAGACTGACATGATGTAATAAGTGTAAATATGATTCGATAGCCTAAATGTATCCAATATGAGTAGATTCATATGAATGATTGAAGTGTTGATGGATTTTGAAAGCATGTGATATATGAATAAGTAAATGGAATATGTCTGAGAAAGGATATAATGTGTGATTATGATCCGTGAGTCCAAGTAACTTGAAAAAGGGATTACGATATATATTATAGCACACTGAAGGGTGTATTATAATATATATATATATATATATATATATATATATATTGTGATCCACAAATTTATATCAATTATAACTCATGAATTATGACATGCTGATTGATAGAAAGAATATGAAAATGAGAAATGCTGAGAAAGAGAATAAGTATAGATAGTACAACGATACATTGGGGGTATAGAATCCGGAAAAGATTTAAAAAATCTTGGAGAAATGAGGATAGTGAATGCTAACAATAAAAGGGTGCACAATAATTTATTGAAAAATAGACATTCACCGCCCACACCTTCATTTCCTGACGAAACTCCTGACTATACCTTTGCTAAAAAGGGCCGGGGCGGCACATGTGTATCTGTGATGTTGCGGCCAACCAGCAGCTATTTGTGCTAAGAAGTCCTCAAGGGATCCCAGAGGCAATTGCTATGAAAATGTTATAGACGTGTAATGATATAGAATCTGTATGGTTATAATATATGTATTGTAACAACTTGATTTATATTGTTATGATATGGGTGTTGTAGTACATCGACCTGTGTGACTGGGACACATGTCTTGTGACATATAACTTGATACGATATGATATATATATATATATATATATATATATATATATATATATAATAACATAATGTCAATATAGAAATGTCACGCAATATATGATTGGGAGACAAAGCAAGCTTGGACATCCCAGAAAATGTCACCCAAAGAAAAATGAATGTGATATGTTGTGAGTCATCGACTTGATTCTTTGCAAAATAGGTGAAACTGGTGACCAAAGAAATGGTAGAACATGTATCAAACTGAAATTCCTAAACTTCAATCCATTTTTATGAACCTCTTTTCACAGTTATGTGTTTTTTTCTTGTTGGAAAAGAAATTGGAGCACATGTTCTTTTATCCACTTCTTAAAAAGAATTACTAGGAGAGTGAGATGAAAATGTGAAATTTTTGAAACACAAATGTGATTTGTTTGGAAGAGTTAGAATTTTAGGAATTAATAATCTTTCTCTTGACTCAAATTACGATGAAGACATAGAAAATGAGATGAGACTCTTGGGAGTGTAATTTTATTTTATAAAATTTGATGGTATTAATATTTATTTTTTTAAAAATATTTTATTATCATTCATAATAATTTAAATTTTTTATATGATGTTATGAATAAATTTATAATTTTATTTTTAATATTACTAAATCATATAGATACAAGTGCCTATAAGAATGAGATACATATATTTTTTTAAATTATATATATCTCATATCTGTATATGCATGATTTAATAATATTAAAATATTTATTATAATTATTCATAACACTTATAATTTGTTTATATAATATCATGTCTTTATGTTATATCAACATAAAAGACAACGATGAGTCAACAATTTAATACATACAAAATCATATCTTTTAATAGTAAATTCATGGATCTTGTATTTTTATTTATATTCATAATAAATCCATATTAAAAGCAAATTAAACTACAGGATCTTAATATACTTGAAATTTGATGTTCTACAACAGTGTTGTATAAGTAAATAATCATGTAAAAGTTTAGACTTCTCTCCAAAATAACCCACTCTTAAAAATAACATTTTCATAACCATAACTATCACCGTAAAGAAAAAATAATCTTTGTATATTAGACTATTTTTTTCCTCCAAAAAAGAGTCTAATCTAGCATCTAAGATAATTAATTGCTATCACAATTAATGAACAAAAAATAATTAATCACTTCAAATATTAAATAATTATAAAAATATTAATTAAAAATTTAGCATCTAAGATCCTAACTTAGCATAAAAAAATAAAGATTATGTACCATCAAAATTAAAAAAATTTAAGATTTAATGGCAAATTACAAATCGTACAAGTAAGCATGAAAAATTTAATACTTAAAAATATTAAAAGTCTTAAAATTCCATATAAAGAAATTACCATAATTATGTTATATTTTAATATTTAATAGCATAAAAATTTATTACTTAATAACATTAAAAGCCCTAAACTAACAATTTTTTAATTAAAAAAATTACTGATAATAAAT